AAAAAATCCTCCCTTTGATTCATGTCATGAAGACAATAACCTCCATCGTTTATATAATTACTCTACAAGAAATCTTAGAAAAAAATCTAACATAAGATAATCTTCAAATGAGAGTTAAGCAAAAGCAAATTGTAGCCAAAAGAGTATAGTTATAGTAAAATTTACTTGTGGTACTCATCTAAAACTTAAAAAATAACAAGATGTACTCTTCAAATTAGATCAATTAGATTGAATTTAATGTTAATCTTGATTAGCTCAATTTTTTTTAAAATATGATAAAATATTATCAGATGTTGATTTACAACGCATCATTTGATTTGCAATAAGATATAACAATTTTTAATTATCACAATTAAGATTGACAATTTTTATTGCAAATTCATCTGAAGGATAGTTCCATTCAAACAAACATTTTTTTGCTACTTTTGCTATCGCAACATTTACTTCTTAATGCACATTTTCTTGAATTTGACATATATATGTTTATCATGTTCATAATCAAAGTATTGTTAAGTTTTTATGCATATTATCAAACACATGATCAGCTTGCAATATTGTTAGAGTTATTTAGAACATTTTTTTCCTTATGATGATATGTATTTGTTATAATTGTGATGGAAAAGCCAAATTTTATCTCCAAATAAGATATTCGGTTTATTTTTTGAGACGTGTCTGCATTTTTCTTCTTCTGTTGTTGAGCTTCTACAATCCTTACCTTCATGTTTTGTAAAATTCTAAAAGTATGATGATAAGATATTATGGAGTCAAATTTCTTGTCAAATTCAAGTTTAAAAAGTCAAATTGTGGATGATATTCACAGTTTGTGAAAAACGTAGTTTGATAAATAAATTCTTCAATATATTCATCGAATTGTGTTGATGACGGTTAATGAAGCAATTCAAAGACTGTTTCAACATTTGATTTACTTGTTTTGTTCAAACATTGGTTTCAAGAATTAATTAACATACCTTAAATACTGCATGAACATTTTATTAACTTGTACATACTTCTGAAGATGATACACCGATGATAGATTAATCACCATTTGTAAGATCTTGAACAAAAATTTTAAAACTTGGATATAAATTGAAACTACCATTAGAGTTGATGTAGTTGAAAATTCCATGATATTTGTACACATTTTTCAAAAAAAATTGCAACTTTTTTTTACCTATGATAATCTTGTTGCAAGGCACAAAATATGACATCTTTGTCAACAATTTCACTACAACAAAAAGTGAATCAAAAAATTTAAACTTTGAATATTTACAATAAAGTTCATGGATTTGAAAAATCATGACTTTTTTGAAACAAAAAGTGCATGTAATAACCCATATGGATGGTGCCAAGGAATCTTATATCTTGAACAAATATCATATGTGATATATTTTTTAACAAAATTTCACATTTGTGGCCATCAAAAATATCTTGAAATTAGTTCAATTGTCTTGTTAAAGACAACATATCTTGCCAACAAAAAATCATGTAAAAATGAAGCATTTGAAGTCAACATGGATACTCATTGACATATAATAGTCCTTGGTAGTAGAGCATTCTTGAACTAGAATCTTGAATTAATATCATCTCGTGACGCTTCACCTTCATGTGGTCTATGGATTCGTAAACAAAAGGGAGTTTGATTTGAGAATTGCCAATCTATAAGCTCAAAATTAGGAATTTGAGAGTTTTTTTGACATGGCTTGTACATCTTTTGAAGCAAAAAATTCAAAATGGTGTTTGGATTTCAAAGCCCAAAATTTTTCATGTAAACTTAAATGGATACCTGGAAAAAAGTATGCATCTATTAAAGTTGTAGTGTGTATGATTTGGAGTTGAACTTGTTCAGACTTTTATTGAATTTGATGACGTTGATTGTACGTTTCATTGACTTTTTATGATGTGAAATAAATTCACCTTGATAAAACTCCAAAGCAAACTTGTTGCAAACCGGATCAATATGTAAGTACAAAATTAAAGCATGATAGTCATGTGCTTCAACGTGCTTGTTAATGATTCAACACTTTTGCCGACATGAAGTACTGAAGGTTCTTGTGATTGGTGTGAATTGTAATTTAATGTTGTACTTCTTCAAAAAAATGTTATCATTCTTGAAACAAATTGACAATGTTTGAAAGCTCCTTATTGTGAATCTTGTGATTGATCTCGCAGCCGTGATTTTTTGGACATGAAATGCAATAAAATGGAGACATTTTTTTTCATCGCATTTTAATAAAATTGCTTCAATGGCAAAATCAAAATCGTTGCTTTCAAAAAAAGATGCTTTTGAAATTCAAGATGAATCACATTAGTCACGGTGATATATGTTGCATTTATGATTTCAAATGCTTATTTTGCTACCATACCCCATTCAAGCTTGTCTTTGCAAGTGATTTGCGTTAATGAAAAAGAAATTTTGAAATAATCTTTAATGAAATTTGATGAATATTCAAAAAGCAAAAAAAAAAATAAACTTGTAGAGCTATTATTGGTTTCTTTTGTTAAAAAATTGTTTGAATCTTTTTGTGATTATTCTTGTGTCTAAATCTACTATTGATTCATTCTTCTTGTTTTATTCTTCTTTTGGCACCACATTTCAAATTTTTTGTAACTCAATGTACAATCAATGTCTCTAAGAAGAAGAAACTTTGATCAATTTTCTATGACAAAGTTTTGAACAAACTCATGTATTTAATGTTATGCACAGGACCTCATATTGCTTTAGCTATGGTCAAGGTGAACAAGTACATGTCAAATAAAAGTAAAGTGCATTGGGTATAGTGAAATGAATCCTAAGATATTTCAAAAGAATTAAACATTATGGTATTTGTTTGATGTATTATTAAAAAATGTCAAATCCTTGCCAGACTACGTTGATGTTAACCATGGATAAAATGGATACAAGAATATATCTACTATTGAATATGTGTTTACCCTTAATCGTGGATGCACTAGTTGGAATTCTATTTTACAAAAATATGTAGCTTACTCTATAATAAAAGCTATGTATGTAGCGGCAACAGATCAGAAATTGGAAGCGGTTAGATTCAATAGAATCATTTGAGGATGAAACATGATGTGTTCAATCTTCATTATGATAGTCAACATGTGTTACATCTTGATGCAAATCAGGTGAAAGATAACATATTGAAATACATTGACATAAGATATCACTATATTATTCAATTCAACTTCTTATAAAAGAATTGAGCTAGTCAATATTGACACTAGATTCAATCCAACTGACAAGTTGATCAAAATTGAAATTTGAAAATAAATAGTAGACATTGAGCTAGGTTGCATGTTTCCCAAGTAAAATCTATTAGTAATTTTGTTACCTTTATATATTTTTTCTTTATACTATTTTGGATTAGGCTTAGTTCTAGTTAGCTCTAGTTTAAAGAATTACTATGTTAGATTTATTTTCTTGCTAAGTAATTATGTGGATTTGGAGTTTCATGTCTCCACAACATGAATTAAGTGGGAGATTGTTAGCATTCACTTGGGGCTGTTTTAACTCAAGTAGCTTAACTCTAAATGGGGTTTAGGCTTTGCTGACTTTATAAAAAAGAGTTAGTCAAAACTCTAGTTAAACACTATAGGGATTTTACAAATAAAGCTTGGTTGTTGTTACCGGGTATGTAGGCCGGAAATGACAAACTACATAAATTTTTTGTCTGGATTTTTGTGTATGCTCGGATCTGAGTTTCGGCATGTGTACTTGTGTTTTCATGAATATAGGCAAACGTGAGTTGAAATATTCTAAATCCACAAGTGGAAATGAAACAAAAAGATTGAGCATGGCTAAACTTGGATGTTGAAATGCCATCAAAACAAAATGTTAAAGGGCTTGCAAGAGGCAAAACGTATACAGTATTGAATTTGAGTCTTAGTGACTTTACGAGAAAGTCGGATAAAATATAGGCTTTTCGGTTAATACAGGTCATGTAAGGTTGTGGTTTGACATTCGGAAAAGCTCTGACATCAGATTTGCTATAACATGAAAGTTTACTTACGCGAAGTGCGAAAGCTCCTTCCAACTTCTGTAGCAGGTCTTCCCTATGTGGTGCCAGACTCAAGGACAGGTTCGCGCATTTTCCGGGCATTTTATCCTCGATGACGACAGGAGACAGTTACGATGTTATGTTAAAATCTCACCAACGACTCAAAGCTAGAGGAAACTCTGAAACAACCCTGTCTCTGTTCGGTGTGAACAATCAGCCAGCTCCCTGTCAGAAAACCTCCTATACGCAGCAGGTACATGACAGAACGATGCAATAATATATTATTGCATCGTTTGCTTAGGCTTTTCTCTGTAATCCACTCATGTGCAATATGATGGACTACTCTTTACAGTTCAAGAATCTGGAGCTGGTAGAATTGCAATGGACCTCTGTACCAGCCCTCCAGAAAGGAGCCCCGGTGCCCTATAAATGCCTCAGCGAGGTCCCAGCATCTAGTCTTATGTTGAGCAGGTGAAGATGTTTGCCTTGGGAGGATGCTAGTAAATTTTTAGTCTGTTATCAATCAGACCTGTTATGGAGTTTGCTCACAACTGTATAAGATTCGGAACAAACGTTGTCATGTTTACGTTAGTGAAGTTAGTATTCGATTAGATTTTTTTGCTAAGTATGCAATCGAGGTCTTAATCCTTCTCACTCTTCAATTTTTTCGTGCTTACATAAGTTCTAGTAAGTCCGATGAATGTTCAATAAACCCTACGGTTCACGCATGATAGATCTACAAATGCTGCTGCAAAAGGGGTATTTCCATATACTCTGCTTCAGTTGAAATCGTAGACTGGATAGGTATGCTTAAGCACAAAAGGATTGGAAAAACATATGAGATTAACTATTACCATTACGAATCCATATTTCAAGTCTATGCTAGAGGTCTGCTTCACTCTACTCATGCTCTGAAGCCTTTAGCTCTTAAGTGCGTCGAATTTCGCTGTTCCTCTGCTTTACAGGTACTTCCTCTACTGTATTTGCCTAGGTAATGATGTTGAACGGAGGTGCCGAAATATGTGAAAGTCTTGACGATCCAATCCAGTGAGGCTCTTTGTCACACACGAGTAAAGAAAGATTACATGGCACGTGAACAAACCTCTCAGAAGGCACACTACTGGTTCGAAGAAGCGAGGAAGGCAGAGGCGATCTCTTCGCTCTACTCTGGGCACCCTATATCCATCTCTGTGAGTACAGATCTACGAACTTTGTATTCTGATAGTCATAGATAACAACATTTCTAGTATTCTCATGGCTACTCGATGACACTTGCTCTTGCAATTTTCCAGATCCAGGGTGATATTTATCTCCAATGCAATTAGTTCAATCGAGATAATGAAAATTAAAAGACACTGGCGGTACCTTCTCTGCTGACACTAACAACGTTTCGTTACAATGGACAAAACGAAGTAACGGAGGAAAAACGCTTTTCTGACAGGTCCTCTCAACAGGGCTGTTTTCTTTTGACGGGCGAAGCTTAGACCACTGGTACAGAAAATTAAAGTGTTATAACCACCGTGTGTTCTTGCGCATCCATCCATCTTACAATTGTTGTAGAACTAAAGACTCATTCCTCAAATCTTTGTATCTGTGATTGCTTGCAAGCTGTCATGGGTCTACTTTATAATAATTTACTTTCATAATAAAAACTGAAAGTGTAGAAAACTTGCAAGGTCTTTTGCAAAGAATGTCGTCATTTTACTGAATATTTCTGATATTTTTTACTTCCAGAGAAAGGAAAAAAGGAGAGTCAATTTCTAAAATTTCAAAGCTTTGGCCTTTGCATTACTTCATAAAGCGAGCCTTGAGTGAATCCTACATATGAAAATACTTGGCTGCGGCAGCTTAAAGAGGATGAAATTGAAACAGGATGGTGGGTGAAGATTAAAACAACAGAAAGAAAAAAAATTATTCTATGTAAAAAAATTTCTTAGACAAAATATATCGTCTGCGTCTTTGTTAATTCACAAATAACAGACGTGGTAAGATAAGAGAAGAGCCGGGCGGGCTTAAAAAAAGTTTGAGCTTCTCTTCTCTCCGAGTGAAGGAGAAAGGAATCGAGAGGAAGACAAGAGAAAAAAGAAAACAAACACAAAGTCCAAGCCGTTGTTTTTAGTACTTCTATGGATGTTTTATCAGTGTATTGAAAAAGTCATTTGCCTCGAATATTGTACAATTTGGGGTCCATTAGAGGTTCAAGTCTCGTCTATATAGGTAATAGAAATTGGCAAAACGTTGTGGTGGCAGATGTGGACATTAAATCAAAATTCCTTGGGAAATAATTTGTAAAGGCTGTGTAATGGAGCACAAAAGAGATGAAGAACTTGTCAAATCCTGGATACTCTGCATGCTCATTGTTGAAAACACTTGGCTTCTTTTCTCTTCTTACAGCTTGGCTAGTGACAATGAATGGCTATATTCCTTGGAAAGGAAAATAGCCATTTTTAATCAGTTGTAAAATGGAGAAGGAATATGGAGTCTTTTGCAAGCAAGGCCCCTGCTAATGCTTCTCCCATTTTATATAAAAAACACAAGAAATAAAATTAGATCAAGTTTTCTAACTCTTAAGAGACACATTTTGTATACTTTCTAGAAACATACCCTGTTCATATTACGTATTACGTAATTATTACGTAAAATTTCATGCTAGACGTAAAGTGCAAAATACAACATTTGGTAAGTTGGTAGGTTGAGCATCTACATTCACTGGCACCAAATTATGTACACGCTTTGCTGTAGGAATCGTCACGAATGATCGTCATTGAGTAGTGTAAGTTTCAAAGCCACTACTCATTTTGATAACATGACAGTGAGAAGTTTCTTTCAGCTTCGGGCTTTGTTTCCACTGGTTCTCAGAAATATCTACAGTAGGTGTAAAGAGGAGAAAGTCCTGTTACGCCAGGAAGTAGTCACAAAGGCCAAAGGAGAAAAAAATATTATTCCGTGTTGCATTTATGAATTGATGCTTACATTGCTCACACCTGTTGTAAATTCGCACTCGTGGAGCATGAAATTCAGAATATACCAATTTAGTCACGATCTTCTGTTTTCTTACTTCCTACTCTGTGCACTTCTCTATAAAGTGAAGATCTGGGGTCAACCCTTGTTTCTCTCCTATGTTCGTTTTAGAAAACCGTGTAGATAATGTGGTGATGAGACTTAATGTAAGAATGCAAAACTTAGAGTAATGTAAAGATCAAACATTTTCTAGATTTATTTTTGACCAACAATTCAAAAAGGAAAAAAATATACATGGAAATGTCTTTCTTAAAACGGAAGTCTTTCTAAAAACTGTTCAGCACTCACACTTTCAGATACATCTGATTGCAGGTACTTACTTCACTCCTCTAGCTTGTATAGAAAGATTTGTTGAAATCTCCTGGTCGAACAAAAAGGTCTCAATGCTGATTTTCCACAACACTGAAGATGCCGCAAAAATGAAAGATTCTATTATGTAGAATCTTTCATTCTCAAGTCTACATATGCGCTCACCGTTCACTACTGAGTTTTTCCTTATTTCATCCTCACTTTTCCTCAACTTCCTCCATGTGGTAGTCTCCGTATGATCTAAGTCATGGGCATTTCATTCGTCATCTTGTGAATCTCACTTTCTAACCTATGATATAAACGGAGCTGTACATTTGCGGATGCACTCTGCATCTTTTAAATGTAAACAGAAGCTTATTCTTGAAATATATAGATTACAAGGGCCATTGAAAACCAAGAATTAGTTGTCAGTAGTTAGAAATGTACATTGGAATTGAATTGTGTTGAAATTGAACTGTTGACTAGTGCTTTGAAATATATTAAGAAAAAATAAAAATAAAATTTTATCATCACATATATGGCAAAGAAAATCAGATTTATAAAAAATTAAATAATGAGTATTCTAAAAATCAACATAAGTGTGGAGGTTACATTGCGCCAAAGAAAAACATATTTACTTTAATTTTTATTCAATGTGATATTTTCTTCTATTACGTAGGATCTTTCATTCTCAAGTCTACATATGCGCTCACCGTTCACTACTTAGTTTTCCTCATTTCATGCTCACTTTAATCAAGCGTCAGGTCTCACTGTTCATGAACATGTCTATTTTTGAGTCTGTGTATTTAGAAAATTGTTTTGATTTGACTCTTAAGAAATCAAACTTTTAATTTTTCATAATGCCAATATATTTGATACGTTTCATAATTATATGAGCAACGCGGTAATAGACCCATGAACAGACATCGAGTCACACTTAACCTAACACATATAAGTATGTATGGGAAAAGCTTAGGAACTTATAAGATATTGTACAGTTGGGAACTTCCTGCGGAACGTTACTTCGACGTTTTGAGCATTTAGAGTCTGCGCTCGAAAATCTCCTCAGCTTGGAATCTTAGACCCAATTCCTCGTCAAACACTGCAAACAATTCAGACCCCGAGCTTTGAACATCAGGTCTTGGCGTCTGCGTAGGGATACATACGACGTTATACACGTGCAACTACGTGACCGATAGCCGATCCCTTTCGCAGACTGCGTGTCTGACGTAGTTTACCACAACTGAAAACGACACGAAACGAGGAGATTTTGAGTCCGTTACCAAGTTACGAAAAACGCGCGCACACAATGACGTTCAACTTGACAGTTAGGACGTTTTTCTTTGATGCCCGCATGCAGGGTAAAATAGACATTGAATGATGTTGCAAAAGGTAATGGATTACCCCTATCTAATCGAAACCACAAGGTATACATACAATGGTGTATACATAGTACTGTATCCAAATACACTAACACTACTACTAACACCAAATAGATCAAATATTCATTAAGCACCCTGAAATATAATATAATAAATTGTTCCTTCACAAATATCATGATATACTATCACTATTGAAGTTCTTTGTTAAAAGAATGGAAACTCGTTGACTAGTAAAAGACCATACGACGAGCTAGTGAGAGCGAGTCATGCACGGAAGAAGGACAATGAACCAGCCAAAGAGTCAAGGAGCATATTGAGACGAAATGATGTCAGCAACTTGCAGAGCAATCAAATTCCTTCTTCACGCATGAACGGCTTTCCTTGTTCTTCTTTCGCCAGTCTGCTAGAGCGCTTCACCAATCCGAGCCAATCACTTCCGTCGAGATCCTTACGCGTAGGCTGGAAGACTGGCCTGGCGTATGTAAGGAAGTACGCCGTATCGTTTATGATAGCGTACTCAGGGCTCACGTGCTAAGTGTGTATGACGCAAAGAGGGCTCTGGACGTAAAACCGCGTACCGTACGTAAGGCCTTGTACGTATAAGATTGTATCAAAAATTAAAAAGGGTTAGGAACTTGTTTAAGGGTTGATCTTATCGATCGATAGGGGCAGAAGGCTCGTCTGGTCATTTATGTTCGCCGTCCTTCCTTTACAAAATTCGGTTCTGGTTCGCGTGGAAGGAACATGCGATTCATGTTTGCCATCGACATGCGTCGAATCGCATGTCGATGGCACTTTGGATGGCACTGCACATTTCGTCGCAAGAATGCGTCGAGCGATGGTGCGCGAAAAGCAGCGATCTACAAGCTACAGTACAACAGTGGTTGCACTGAGGGGCCACTCGGTTTGCCATGTGGAAGCGGCCTGGTGTGGGACCGAGGACACTTACAGTGGATACAACCACCGCCAACTTCAGTTAGAGGAGCGAAGTAGAGGGGAGGAGAAGACGGGATGTCCACCGAGACGTGGAAGCGGCAGAAAACGCTGCAGCGAGATATGATCCTGACATATGGAGCTCGAGACAGATGTACAGTGGGTGGAAACTTTGTGAGCTGAGGCAGCGATCATTACCCGACAGTTTAGAGAGTAGAGGGGAGAGCAGAGGAGGGCAGAGTGGGGGCATAGCGAGGGAATCTCTGAACAGCGTATCGGGTGCGAGGACGAGGGCGAGGAAATCTTGCGCTTTAGACACACCAACGAACGAAGGGAAGCGACTAGTGTGAGAGGATCCCGCCACAGAAGATTCTCGAACTGCGGGGCGGCCTTTTTCATCTGATGGTGCTCTCGATTTGCAGAGCAAGGCCCAGGATCCGTGTGTTGTGTCGAGTGGGCTGGCTCATCGCTCACCACCACTTGGTCGAACGAGAGCTTTCAAGCGCTGGGAAGCCGAACCGGACGAGTACCTGCGAGATCTGAGGACTGCAGGAGGTCCTCTGGCAGCCCGCGTTCTGTCGCTAGAGATGCACAGCACTATCTTTGTATCGGTGTATGATCCGCTTAGAGGGGAACTCACGGTGCTGCGGAGCCCAGCGCCACACCGGAGTTCGTCGTCGCACGTCTCTCCGTCTGTCTTATTGCCTGCAAGAGTGAGGGGAGCGACCGCGTACTTTGCGTGGTATTTTGCATGGTCTTTGCTGCCCACGTTTGTCGCGCAGTAGATTCCTTGATATACTTCAGATGTCCGTCGGGCTGCCATACATTGCGCTCCCATGCCATACCTGCTCTGCGCAAGTGGGTGCAAGTGCAACACGTATTTATATCATTGCAATTGTGGCCGTCCACATTTCGGCCTCCATTTCTATCACGTTCCAAATTTTCCCACCCGTATCCCGTCTTTCTCGCACTCCGATGGTCGAAGGTCAAATCCGCAAATAATTCCGCAAATGTTAGCAGCCCTGCAGCCCGTAGCCGCGCATCTTCGCACACCAGAGTCGGTCGCACATAATTCGAGCGGGGCTGCAAACTTTTTCCATGTTTAACACGAATTGTCCAAAACTTCGAAAATGTCCTCTAGAGGCAGGGCTAAAAGTAGCACGGACTTTTAGGGAGGCAAGCGAGGCGGCTTGTGAATCTCAACGAATTCGAAGGCACTACATTCACGGACCTCGGGAGCAAATCACATCCGAGCCCTCGCCTAGACCGCACCGGCTGAAATCGCTCGTCGGACTTATCGCGGGCGGTGGCCGTCAGGGGTGGGGGGCGGGGGCACGCCCTTGTCGCCCCGGAGATGGCTAGTGTACCGTGGCTCAGGGGGGTAAAATAATAGCTCTCTTGGAGCACGAGTTTCTCTCTCCGCAAATGACCAGCCGAGACCAGGAGTCCGGAACAAGCTCCAAGCCCACACCGGAGAAATATCAGGAGTCCAGGACAGGGTTGGGCTGGGACTCCTTCACGTGGTCGGGTAATGTCGCGAAGGTTGCTGGGGCTGGGAAAGGGGGGACACTCTCTTTTTTGAAGAGAACAGAGCGGGGACTGTGGAACAACCGAGACACTACTACTACTACTATCCCGAGTGAGGGGATGAGTGAGGGATGAGTGAGGAGTGAGGAGGGAGGAGGACCAGTTCATCATTTGTCCCGACCCCACCAATCGCACAACGTCTGTCTCTCTGTCCCATTACGTCCCAGCCGTCGGTCCGGGAAGTGAAACCACTGTAGGTTTGTGTCCGGCCAGATTCGTCTGTCCACCAGCACATGATGCTGAAATCTTGGGCCTGTTTAAAACATGTCAGTGCGTTGTGACATTCATCATTCTTCCCTCGTTTGCCCTGCTTCGCCAGGTGCAGACGGAGAGGAAGGACAGCCTTGGCTAAAAGGAGAGACACCGTTCGCGTCCGTTGTAATCATAGAGAGAAACCGATAGACGGGAGGGAGGGAGTAGGAGACCTCGCAGAGAGAGTGATTGTCCTCGGATAAGGAAGTTCGCAGAGTGGGACGAGAAAGCGAGCGAGAGGGAGAGGGAGAGGGAGAAGGAAGAGAAAGAGTCCGGTCTCCAATCAAGCGCCATCTCTTTTTTTGAATGCTGAAATTAGGGTCTGTCATTCATCGTAGCGGCGGATAATTTCTATTCTGGTGAGCGGCTCTTCTTTGAACAGTGTATACTTGCCATCTACCACTCTGCCCATTTGTCTGCTTCGCCCCCCCCTCGATATAACTTACGCCGCATTATTGCTCGTCGCTTGTCTCCAACCAAGCTCTGCGAGCGACACTCAATCATTCCATCGTCCCTCCTTTGACGATCCATTGATCCCGTTGTCTGGTGTGCTGTCTGGAACGCTCGATCATGTGAGCAGCCAGCTTCCGAGGTAGGGTAGGAGCCAAATACATGACCATCGACATTGAAGTCCTCGATTGACGTTTTGAGTTCGCATCTACCGTTAATCTCTTTTCAAATTGACCGCGGTGCTCGGCTAAGACGACTTCCCCTTCTCACACTACACTTCCTGGGGAATTAGTGTCGAATGGCCGAACTGATGCGGCTTGACAGCAAGATCGCATTGATGAGTGTAGTGCGTTGCTCGCAGTGAGTCCTCTGTGCTTGGCTCATTTTCTCGTTCTGCACAGTGTGTAATCGATCGCATGCCTGTTCTACCTTTGCAGGTTTCCGGATCTAGAGCTTCTTTGTCACGGGACGATACTCCTCGGTCATAGGCGTAGCTGACGACTGCACCGAGATCTTGGAAGTTCGCACGACCTGTTCTCCTAGCTGTCACTTGCGTAGAACGTCCACAGATTTAGAGCGGTAGAAGGTGACATTCGAGGCGGCGGAAGGGCGCCCACAATGACGGTCGCGAAGGAGACAGAGTCGCGGGAACCCGAGAGGAGACAGAAGACGGAGACAGAGAAGAAACAGGCGGAAGACTTCGACTACTCGGCTGCTCCGCCATTCACCATTGCTGATCTCCGAGCAGCCATCCCCAAGCACTGCTGGGTAAAGAGCACCTGGAGGTCCATTTCGTACCTCATTAGAGATGTGCTCGTAGTCACGATCTTGGGAGCAGCTGCGGCGTACTTCGACAACTGGATTGTGTGGCCCCTTTACTGGTTCTTGCAAGGGACCATGTTCTGGGCGCTCTTCGTCGTCGGCCATGACTGCGGCCACGGTAGCTTCTCTGATAACCAGTCTCTCAACTATTTTATTGGACACATTGTCCATTCGTTCATCTTGGTTCCCTTCCACGGCTGGAGAATCAGCCATCGCACTCACCATGCCAATCATGGACATGTGGAAAATGACGAAACTTGGCATCCTGTCACTGAGAGCCTCTATAAGAAGCTCCCATTCATGGCTCGGTTGGGACGTCTGACCTTTCCAGTGAGCCTTTTTGCATTCCCCGTGTACCTTTGGGTAGGAACTCCCGACAAGGGAGCATCTCACTACCACCCCGAGAGTGCTCTCTTTCTCCCCAAGGAGAGGAACGACGTCCTTACCTCGACAATTTGCTGGTGTACCATGCTCGTGTTGCTCATCAATTTCGCCATCACCATTGGACCCATGTGGGTCCTGAAGTTGTACGTGGTGCCTTACTGGCTGAATGTGTTTTGGCTGGCTTTGGTCACCTACCTCCACCACCACGGATACGAGAAGAAGGTCCCATGGTACAGGGGTAAGGAATGGAGCTACCTGAGGGGAGGACTGTCTACCATCGACAGAGATTACGGCTGGATAAACAAGGTCCATCACGACATCGGCACTCACGTTGTGCACCATTTGTTCCCCCAAATTCCTCATTACCATCTGATCGAGGCCACCGCGGCAATCAAGCCAGTGCTCGGTGACTACTACAGAGTTCCTGAGAAGTCTGGACCATTACCTGTGCATTTGATTACCACTGTAATGAAAAGCTTTTCAGAGGATCACTTTGTTAGTGATGAAGGAGAGATCGTCTTCTATCAATCAGATCCCAAGGTGTCTGTTAGCAATTCGACCTAGTGCAAGTAGATGGGCCACAACCAACCAGGTCCATGTAGTTACTGATGTAAAACCTTTCACAATAACCAGCAACTGAATAGACTAGATGCCCTCCATTGATAATTGTAGTAGGAAACTAGGGGGAAATTCCTTCTTCCATAGAACAAGCTTAATACAAGTCGCGGTTACCGTTACTGGTGCGTGCTCACCGTTTTATTCTGAGTCGCTTCACCTTGCGCAGAGCAAACCATTTGTTCATCCTTAGCTATGCGTGTACTGCCTCTAAAATTTCAACGTTCAAAATCAACCTGTTTTCTGATTGGAATTCGTTGTGGATGATCGACGAGCGGATGTTGACTGTCTTGGTTTCCCCCGGATGTCTACGCGTTTAGTGATCAACATCCGGACGTGAAATAATATTCTCGTTTGAATCTGGAAACACTTTTCTATGCCTGCCTCTGACTGGACATGCATGCAGGAACGGATGTCAGATTTCCCCAACATCATCATTGTGACACGGATGATACGGGAAAATTGGTGAATACGCGTCAACACGCAGCGCACATGACGCGCCCTTGTCGAATTGGACTCTAATGTCCATCACAGTTTACGCAGGACGAAGATCGAGAATTCCACGAGAAGGTCAGGTCAATACATGCCGAGTTACATTGTACTGTATCTGTAATCCTATTCAGTCGAGTTCGTCACCCGCTACAAAAAGGCTCTTGCGACAAATGATGGATGTAACCATCGTGACTAACTGAAGAAAAAGGCCGGAGAATGCAAAGATCCAGGAAATTTTGAACCGTGCAAACGACCTATCGTGCAGCCCGCTGACAATTAACCCTCGTAGAATCGTCCGGAAAGGCGGACAGTACGAGACTATTGGAGTGTAGTTCTATTCATGGAACGATACTCTGAATCGGGAAAATCTCGAGGAGTGTGCAGTGCCTTTCCATCACGTGGAATATATAGTACCAATTTTCCACGGGCCTCGATCTAAGTGTGCCACGGATCAAGAATTCGGAGAAACCTCCAAGCCCAAGAGTACAAGTTTAACCTACTCAGTGGTACCGATGTGTTGTGCAGGTGTTATTCCCGGTAGTTGAAGATCTTTCCTGTCTGTTGAAGTTCTGGTAACCTGGGTCCTGTGGGTCCAGCTTGCAATCTCCACCGCTTCGTTTTCTTTTGATCTCGAGAAAGCTTCATTGCAAATGACTTTCCATATTCTCCTTCAAACATGGTGACGCCACCATAGAACATCTACAGCATATTCCAGGCATCACAATCATCTGTACACGTAAAATAGTGTGGACTACGACTGCGATTCATTTGTCATTTTAGAGCACTTCTACTATCAGCGGTGAGAATGATTCCAGAGACGGAATATACTACGGTCCTCGTACTGTATTTGCACTCGGAATTGCACAACCGTGCAGTTTGTTATGGCCGTTTCCCGCACAGGCGAGGCCAGTCGTTACAAACACCCCTAAGCCGAAAAGTGCGCTTGTTTGACAGTCTTGCGTCAACCATGGCCAATAATCTGGCGGAGAAAGATCGTTATCCCCAGATCCACATAAGTGAGTTAGAGCAAAGAAAGTTTAGAAAACCTGCAGCCGTAGCCTTGGTCAGAACCTTGGGAAGAAGCCCCGACGACGACATGCTGTAGTTTCATGGTAAGCAACAGATTTGAAGGACTGGCCGGCTCTCTGCTTACATTAACTGTCTGTTCGTATTCACCGTTCTATATAAGCACCCATACAGCTCTATCTATTACGATCGTAGGTCGAGGACCGCATTGGAACGAGAGCTGTGATAGTACTATCAGTGTCCAAGATGGCCCACTAATCGTCCAGTCAACGCATCTTCTTTGCTCGGTCGATCCTGTCTTCGGCCAGGGATTGTGACAAAGAAATCCACAGACCGTCCAAAGACCTCTTCCGAAGACCCACTGGAGCGAGTCTGTTAATTTAAGAGTCCAACCGCTAATTTTCGGTGCAAGTTGTCTGGCGGTCAACCGAGGCGGTCCTCGGAGTCACTAGGCGCGGGCTCATACACTATCAGACTCAGTCTCAGGTATGGTTAGGTCCGTCTACAGACGTAATTGTACAGGTCAAGACATAAATATCTCTGACAGACTGCAAAGCGCATGGTTGCAACGAGCACGTTCGGCCTTGATCTGTAGCGTCGAGTGTGATGCAGGCGCGGCACACTCCCTCCACACAGAACTGAGTCGCAACTAGAGTTCCTGTTGCTCTGAGATTTAAAATGGATGCTGTACCCACTGAACGACCCTCATCTCATATACGGCAGTGAATATGTATCTGGCCTCATTAAGTCATGCGGATACGACAGGGTTCAGAAGCGAGGGACTTCAATCCCAAAGATACTACGTTTTGATTGAATCGGCTGGGACGTATCCATGGAAAATCCAGATCTCCACTTTTCAAGTGATTGGGAACTTTTCATGGACCGGAGGGAGGGAGAAGGGGTGACGTGGACCACGCCCACAAAGTAAAGCTCGGTCGTCTTTAATGCCACTGCTGCATACATTCAGCTTTTAAGCTAAAGAGAGACGGAAGCGACGGAATCGAGTTGGGCTCTTGTGCCGCTTCTCGTTCATTACGGAAAGATCGTACAGTGCCCAGAGGTTTTACCGACTCGTTACCCCGTACAGATGCCAGCGGATTTAAACTCTAGTGGAGAAAGTGCGTAAAGCTTCAAGTCTCAGTTGCGCTTTTAGTGATTCCGATACGCCCTATACCACATCTGATTTGCCGCTGCCACGGCTTCGAGCCCGCCAGTTCCATTTACGATGTGCGCACTGTGTATATCGGCTGACAGTCTTCAAACCCCATCCCTACTCCTTGAATCTGGATCTTGTCTGAGATTTCGATCATGAGTTTCTATGCAGCATTCTTGATAGTCGAATGTTCAATGAACTGTCAGTAATACTTATCGGTGAAGGTCGTCAGTAGTTTTCAGAAAACCTGACGTGATGTCGTAGTACTATCACCGTCCTTCTGATCCAAAAATAACACTCCAAAACAGTCGTGTATCTGAAGGCAATACTGTGGGCTGGGAGCACAAGGTGGCTATCATGGCACAGGGGAGCAAGCGTGGACACGGGTGCGAGATCTGTGCCATAGAAAGTCCTTATTCAATTTCTGACTCTTGTCATCTCTTGTCTTTCATAATCCGAACCTCGACATGATTTTGGCGGAATCATGTTAACCTTCCATCCTTAGATCTGATAAGTGAATTCGTCTGGGGAGTCGCTGCCGTCAGTCTGAACCTAATAAACATGGTCATACTCGTTCATTTATAAAACAGAATGGGGTTCCAAGTCAGCCAGCCAAATAGCTACTGTGAACTAATTATTGGAACACGTAAAGATATCTGCTAGCTAGACCCATCAGGCCGTGCATCTTATAGTTACTATACCTTGTTTTATATTGAAACCTCCAGCTTAGCAATCTACTATGTTGTTAGAGTTTACTGTCCGTGAGTGAGCATGTGAATGGCAAACCTAGCCACGACGAGGCACAGGAGCATTAGCAGATGGTCATATCGTGGTGTCTTGCTCATGTAGAGATGGCATTCGCCATCTCTACTATAGTTCTCTTACACCTTCAAGTGATTTCGTGACCGTCCGATGCTCCTAAGAACTTGCATATGTTTGAACATCCAGTCAACTTTTTTGAACATGCTGTCAGATTCTTGGGAATCACCTTCATGCAGATCGTGTTCAACATGTGCGTATCATTCCACTCGGTGCAATTACAACTTTGAAGCATCTAGCAACAGTGTGACTGCATCGACTCGGAGTTACTAGAACGCAGATGGCCTAATCTCAGATCTGCAACACATTCAAGTGGGTGTTCTGTTGGTTTTTTCAAATGAGTGACCCACTGCTACACATTGGGTTACCTCCGAATCCACAGTTGCAAGATGTTACACGGTGTAAAGACACGGAGCTGCTAGATCTGGAAACCGTTACAAGATCGTGGGCAGAAACTATCCTGACTGCCTGCCGTAATAACCTTCCGGTACTGTTCGCTCGATTGAGTTCAAAATTTGCGTCTTTCTTCGAGTACATTTGTACGGGTGAACGTACTGCACTGCACTACGGAAGAAAGGACAGAACAGATAGTGATCCCGACTCATGCGGTCAGAATGTAGGTAAGGTGACTACAGTGCTTGCAGTACTTCAAGTGCTCCGAATAATTCGAACATCGCCCTCAAGGGTTCTTTTCGAACAGGAGCTCACATTTTCCAGACCCCAAGATCTTAATCAGGACAGAAGTTGGAAACTTAGTATGGCTACACACTGGCAACGGTGTAGGCGTACTTGCGTCAATGATTCGATCTACAGATACCGCACATATGCGTTCATCGAAATCTTACATAGTGTTATCTTGATCCGGAGATTTCAGGAACCTGACCAAGTCTTTGAATATGTCTGAGTTTATCTTTGCCTTGTCGTCTTAAAGATGTAGTTCCGAAGCAAACGAATCTCACATCGCGAAGGACTACGCGATGATCAACACTTACACCAGACTTCGCTGATCTCGCATTTGTTTGAACTGCGATGTGATGATTCAAAGTTACTGTACGAAACTAACAATCTTCCTTCCACAAAATTCGTATCAGCTTATACAGGTTAGGCGTCAACTTCTGTTATGTTTTCTTGAAGATTGATGTCATTCAGCTATCTCGAGGAGACTAAAAATAATGTGTCGATCATGCATCCTGTTTAAACCAAAACTCTGTAAGAATATTATGCTTGCACTAAGTTCTGTGATATTTGAGAAGTTGAGACCTGCTGATTGGAACATCAATCATCAGCACTTACAATGAGATGATTTTGAGACCAATATTCGCTGTATGCATGGTGTATAACAATGAAGCTGCTAAAGATTCAGATTGTCTTAACAATTCCTTCCCAAAATTTCATGCGTACGTACTGCCACTTTAAGTCTACAAATCTATTATATGAAGGATTTTATTTCGATTGTCGTTAGGCCATATTGGTAATTAGATTAGCTGTTTATGATGAAGGGGAGAATGCTCGTACTCATATCTAATGTGCTGATGTACAGAATCTAAAGACAGATGATGAACTTGTAAGTTTTCTTGGAATCAATTGACTTTATGATCAGATGTAGAATCAAGACAGATGATCCAAGTTCTCGTGAATGACGTCTTTAGTTTCTTGTGGACATAGAAGAAATTTGCAGAAACCCAGGTGAAAAGTACTCGTTACAATCAATTAACAAATCTTGCCGATGTTCCGTTTTATGCTAATACTGGAGTTGCGTATGCTAGCGGTAAGAGCTGAGGAGGGGCGACAGTTCTGCTCTGAAGACAAGGTATGATCACGTCTTGAGGTGAGCAGCAGGAATGATGCACGAGTTCGAAATCAGTAGCACGTATGATATTTCTATATCTACGCAGGTGAGCACTTTGTCCGTTTCAACACCATCAGTCACATTCTCATGAATCAAGATTTTTTCACTAGCTGTTGCACGTGAATAACAGATCGTGTTGTGAATGGAATGTAATATGAAGGCCTATTGCTTTCCTGTAGCAGCCGTAAGGCTGTATGCCTAGTCCAGTCCATGAGCTCCGACCTAAGTTCCGCTCATCCACAGCATCTGCACATGTGTAGATCACGTTGATACAAGAATTCAACTCCTTTTGCGAAATAGCCATGCCCAAAGTAGCGAGGGAAGCTGTTGTAAGGAGCTCAATATACATATTCCATCTCAATGCTAGTATAAAGACGTGAACAACTCTTCTTTCTGGAAAGAACGACGGAAATATGGTCATCAACACAAGAGTTTCGACATTCAAAGAAAAAACTGAATCCACACCCGAGTACCAGAGCTTACCATCCATAATAATGCGTTAGTCATGAGTCTGACGCTTTTCTAACATATGATATGTCAAGCGCGATACTGAATGAAGCTCACATTTTTCCACACTGTATTTGGCACTTTTCAACCGTACCACTGTGATGACATACTAAATGATGTTCTGTAATAAAACTGAACAAATCTGGGCCTAACAGTGGGAGACGTGAACTTGCTGTTCAAATCCTGAGTTCTCATGTATTCTTGTTCTCGGCTTTAAAATCTAGCTTCTGGAAAAAACTTCTACACGTCCTTGAGCCCTTTCGCAGCTTTACTCTCGTACTTTGCCCTAAGAAGATTGTACCCATGTACACGTTTGGTGCACGCCAATAAGGCGTGGTGTTGGCCACCGAGATTAGCTCCGTTTATTCTCTTAGCTTATTTCTTTTGATAGACGGAAATTTCCAAGGAATGGATAATAATCCATTCTTTGGCAACGAGCAGGAAGCGGCCTTAAGTCTATTCCACATAGCAATGTCCACTGAACAATGCTCATCCTCGTGAATTATCCACACTGGGGTACCTTTCCTTAGAATCTTGTTCGATAGATCCACTCTAAACGAGCTCGAGGCGAGTCACGGATTGAACATGGGGCGGTGCAAGGTCAAAAGAGGGAATACCGTCATTTGCTTTTGCGGTGCTTCTGCAGCTGGAGGAAGTTTGGCGCGGACGGAAAGGTCATCAAAGTGATGCTTAGACTCTAAGCATCACTTTGCCTCTAAGCCTTAGAGGCATCGGGAAGATCTTGGCGTGGGCTTGGAATCTAAGCCTCCGCTTTTGATTGAGTTTGTCTCTTTTAAAAAGGGAGATGTCACTGTTTAAAAAAACTATTTATTTAGGAAGACGTGAGCGGCTAGAAATTGGAGTGTGGACGGATATGAAAATGCATGAGAATCCAGAACACATACGTATATAAGTCAACGAGATAATGTAGCGCATTTTGATTTTGGGAATAAAGATTGATAATATAATATCTTTTTTCTATGTTAGTGATAAATCTATTCAACCAAAGAATAAATTCTTAGGTTGAGCAATAATTTGTTATTTCCGCTACCTCTACATATTTAGGATCTGGTGTTGATTTAGATATTTATTAAGATATTAAAAATTAAATGTTTAACTAATGCATTCACCACCAAATATAAACACATATCAAATTGTAAATTTATTTTTGTCAAAATTTTGTCTATAGTTAACATCAATATCATCTAGCAAAGATTTGACATTGTCCAATAAACCATCAAACAATATAATTTTTATATACTCCTAATATTCTTAGGTATCATTGCATTGTTTACTAATGCTACTTCAATATATTTGACATGCACTTATTCTCTTCCATAGTTACAATATTAACTCTTGTGCACACCATCATAAATATGAGATTGTTCATAGCTTTGTTATAGTAAATTGATGATGTTTTTCTCTTCTCAACGATATCAATTGGAAATTAAAGTATAGAATGCTTAAAATATGTTGCCAAATGAGTTCATATTTTTTTTTTAACATGTTAAACACACTTTGAACATATTTGCCTTGATTCAACAATAACCTTTAACACTCTATTTTCTTATGTATATTCATCGCTAATTTTTTCTTACATTAATCCAAATTATTCATTTTAAATGAAAATTTCAATTGATTCTTGCATAGTTCAATGTTAGATTGATTTTTTGTCAAAATGTGCTAGTTTTATATCAAAATGAGTACAATTCTATAAATAGTTTGTACACGATTCTTGTTAATTTTTATTTTTTGATGTAGATAATTAATGCTTATCAATAACTTGTAATTCAAAAATTTGCTCCATATTTACTTGAATTTCTCTTTGTGTCACATCATTGATTATATAATGATCAATATTTCTCTCTAATAACATTGTGAATGGAGATTTTATACTATTAGTATGAAAAATCTGAAATTTTCACTCTCTTTCAATTACTTGGGCTCATAATAAGAAACAATAACTTTACACACTATTGTTCACATCCACTATAACCACTTACATCACTAACATATTCAAGATAATAACTTTTGTTGGATTCAAGATGTAGCTTGATAATATTTTTCTAAAGTATGATTTGTTTTGTGATAGACTATGGAAAAAAACCTAACTTCATTCTAATAAAAAAAATAATATACTAATATCTTATATATAAGTGATATATAAATTTAAGGTATATTTGATTTTTATCATATTGGGGAAAAAATTTCATTTTTTACATTTTTATCTATTTGGTTATAGTAAGAATTCATCAATCTTGTAACTTTGAAAATATTTAATGTGTTAAAATTCAAATATTTGATGAAGTTAAAAATATATTAATGTACAAGAATCACACATCAAAATTCACAAAAAAAAATCACACATCAATGTAGGTGGTTCACTTCCACATAAGTGTACGTACACGGCCGAGATAAAAACTTCACTAAAGCAAGAATGTAACATCAGGTCTTCATAGCTCAGCTTTTTATTTTCTCTCCCCACAAGTGTGCATGTGAGACTAATCTGAAACATGCTCTATCTAGGGTTAAGTATAAGTATAGGGTTTAGGGTTTAGTTATAAGTATAAGTAAACCCTAAACCCTAAACCCTTAAGTATCTCAAAACCTAAGTAGAAGTCAAACTTAACTATGGTTAAACTAACTTCAATTAACAAGATGCGGTTTAACTTTACGAACTTATCCCAAATCTAAGTCTTAAAAGATACAATTTCTATAATCCATATATAGGTTCAACAAAAATTTCTAGAAATTAAAACTAATTCATAGTTTATATCTATGAATAAGGCTTATTTAGAACCAAGTCTTAGCTAAAAACATAAAAGAGAGAAACTAAATACATAAAAATTATCATGTAATCTAAATCGTTGCTGCAAGATCTTCAAAGTTCCAAAATGTATGGAAAACTTATCAAGTAAATCACTTTGGTAAAGCCATTAGCCGAGTTAAGTTCCATCAATTTTGATGAGCTTAAGCGTTTTCTTAGACACAAATTTTCCTTACAATGGTACCTGATGTCAATATACTTTACCTAACTATCCATCATCTTATATTCAGCAAGTTCAAACTCACTTTGACTATCAAAATGAAGATTGACATCTTGTTGCGGCAATCTCATCTTAGTGACAAGCTTGTTCAACCAAATTGATTCTTTTGTTGACTCTGCTGCTGCAACATATTTAACTTATGTGATGACAAAGAGAGTTAATTTTGAATAGTTATTACCAACTAATGCAGCCAATTGTTAGAGTGAAAGCATACATAGTCGTTGATTTTCTTTTGTCCATGTCTCCACCATGATCAACATTCACATATACCAAAGGTGACTTGGCATTCATTACTTTGACATCAAACAATAAGCTATGTTATGTAGTCTTTAAGATATCTGAGTATCCACTTCACTGCTTTCCAATGCACTTTAATAAGATTTAACATGTTCATGTTCACCTTACCTACAGCAATGCTATATTCAATAGTGTGCATGCCATCAAATACATGAGATAATCCATTGCACTCTCATAAGGGATAGAATACATCAAGTCTTTTCGATTGCATATGTAGTACATTGCGTTGCTTAAAGTAAAAAAAAATGAGTAACCAATGAAATGCTCACAATTTCAGTTTCTGTCATATTGAACTTGGCAAACATATTTTTTTCATATTTCTATTGAGATAACCAAAGCTTATTTGACTTCTGATACTTAAATACTTCCATGCCAAGAATCTTCTTAACTAGACTTAGATACTTCATGTTGAAAGTTAAGCTCAACTCAACCTTCAACTTATCAACATCAAATCTTCTGAGAGCTACAATAAACATGTCATCAACATACAAGACAGAAATGATAAGCCAAATGTCGCATTGAGAACCTCTTTCAAGTAAACACAAGGACCATATACACTCTGTAAGTTAGGAGTAACTCAAGTCTCAAGTAGGACTAAAGTTAGCCGCCGCTCTATATAAGGTTTCAAGTTTAGGATTAGAAAACACTGAACTCGGAACGTTAGAATCAGATATAAATATAGGATGACAACACAAGTCTAGACATAACAACATAACACATTTGTAACTCTTTTAGAGTAATTGATTTGTTATTTCTGTGTATGTAGCCCAAGCTCAGATGAATCACGTATCTGACTGTGTTGATGTGCGTTGCTTATCTTTGGTCATTACATCCCTCTTTTCATGAGAAAATCTTGCGATTGCCATATGAATATCACGTCATCAAGGAGTCCATAGGGACTAGCTTTGACAACATCCATTTGATCAAACACTAGATCATATAGAATCAAAAGGACACATAGCAGATTAACTGTAGAGTCTTTTGCTACTAGTGCAAAAATTTCATTATAATCCACAACTTTGTGTTGTGTGAATACCTTTGTTACCAACCCAGCATTGAAGATTTTTTCATCTGTATTTGTGGTTCCATCCTTTTTCATGTAAATACATTTATAATCTACCACTCTCTTATTTTGAATCAACTCAACAATTTTCCAAGTGTTGTTGGCATGAAGTGACTTTATCTTCTTCTGCATCGTTGCTTGTTATTTCCACTCTTGCTTTTCACTAGAAGTTAGAGCTTCAAAGAGAAAATATAGATCTCTGTTTTCAGTGATCAAAGCGTCATCTGAATCCTCAGCATTAGCTTCAATAACCCATTGATTAAAGAATCAAAGTGCCATACCTAGCCGGAGCTTGATGTTCAATTGCACTCCGTAACTTCCACCTTGATAAAGATTTGCTTTATCAATTTCTGTTGATTCTAAATATGGCTCATTCATAATCAATTCCTTTTGTTCCACAACAGTTGTAATCTCTCCTTTTGACCCATCATCAGTGATGTCAATATCAATCTCCCTCTCAGTAGTGTCAGAGATTAATAATCTTAACTAGAAAGTGAAGATAGATAGGAATCTTCACTTTCTTTCCCTCATTCAATGATCTTGATTCATTCAATGAAGCATTGATTATGACAATAAGTTTGCAAGCATTGACATTTCAAAACCTACATCCCTTTACTCCTCTTTGAAAACCAAAAAATAAAAATTTTTTGGCTTTAGTATCAAGTTTGGTCCTATTATTTTTTGAACTATGAGCATAAACATCACAACCAAAAACTCCAAACATAGACTAATCATCTAACCGTTCGTATCACAATTCAAACGATATCTTGAACTTGATAGAATTATTAAGAGACAGGTTCACTAAGTAAGCTGAGATATTCACAACTTCAGCCCAAAACAAATGTGTTAAACCAGCAAAACTGAACATACTTTGCGAACGTTTAATAGTGTGTAGTTGAGTATCTCAGACACACCATTTTGTTCTGGA